AAAGTCCTTGTAGTTCTTCAGACACAACCCCTGCCCTTAAGGAGCTTGTGCACTGTTAGAATTGTTGTCGCTGTCACAACACTCACATACAAAATACATGCAAATGTAATAGAGGCACCAGGAAGGGTTTTTAGTGGCCTAGAAGACAGAGCATATTCCCACAGGAACAGTGGGGGAGTTGTCCCAGGGCAGGCAGGATTTTAACTCATGCATTCTACTTCAACTTTCTTTGATGCTCTACTTGATGCTGGTATTGCATCAGCAAGTAAGCCAGCTGTGGAATCTGTCCTTCGAGAGCTTACCTCTTGTTGGAGAAGACAAATAAGTAATCCTATCATTCTACTGCCCTGGGGTTAAGAGAGTGGGTGCTGTCATCAGAATGCCTGGGTTCAAATCCCTCCTTTAATCAGTTGCAGCCCAAGTGACCCATTTATTGAATTATTTCAAGGCTTCTTTGAGTCACCCATGAATGGCAGAAAAACAAGAGCCTACTTCTTGGCCAGCTGTGGCGGCTCATATCTGTAATCCTACCACTCTGGGAGGACAAGGTGGGAGGATCGCTTGAGGTCAGGAGTTCAAGACTAGCCTGAGCAAGAGTGAGACCCAATATCTACTAAAAATAGACAAAATTAACTGGGAATAGTGGCGCGTGCCTGTAATCCCAGCTACTCAGGAGGAGGCTGAAACAGGAGGATCACTTGAGCCCAGGAGTTTGAGGTTGCTGTGAGCTATGATGACGCCATGGCGTGCTAGCCTGGGCAACCCAGTGAGACTCTGACTCAAAAAAAAAGCCTAGTTATTAGGGGTGATATGAGGAGGAAAATGTAAATTCTTAGCAAGGTGCCTGCTTGGCATATAGTAAGTGCAGTAAATGCTAGCAATCTTTAAAAATGCAGTGGTATGAAAAATGTGGGCTGCTGTAGAGAGCATAGGAACTCGCCCCCTCCCCACCCCAGCATAGGACAGAACCATATCAAGTTGGATAAAATGGTGCTCTATGAGGATGTGAATAAGACACTTTAGGTAGACAAAAGAGCCAGAACAAAGAAATAGAGGTGGGATTCCAGGTCCTTTCCTGAGAAAGGAAACGCATCAGGCAGGTCCATTGAGAAAGGATCAGGTGGTGGAAGCTCTGCTTCACAAGTGAGTTTGAGAGCAGAACACGGGGGAACTTGAGTGTCACACTTAGAAATTCCTTTAAACTTAAGGTTGAGACTTCTTTCTGGGCTCTTTATACCATTAAACCAACAGATTATTGAGGGGCTTACTGTTCTGGCTTAGCAATGGTGGAACATTCTAGGAGGAAAGAGCCTTTGTTGTGGGACTGTCAGGCTCATTTAGATCCTTCCTCCCTGGGCACAGAGTACCAGTAGAAACTTCTACATTCGTCCAGCCCCCAACTCACCCCTGCCCCTTCCCAAATGCCACTTAGGAATAGGGAACTGCCCTTAGTTGACACTCATTTTTCATTAGTTCATCATTTCAAGAGTGATAAGGTATGTTTATTTTTATAAAATTTTGATCACCAATAACAGAATAATTAGCTTTATAAAATGTTTCCTATTGTGCCAAACAACAAATTAGAAGCATGATTTTCCTTTTTCCTTTTCATCACTCTATTTTCTAGTTGAGAATTTAATTTTATACCATTTTATGCCCATAACATAGGATCACAAACTTTAAAAATTTGAGCAGGGTGAGGCCAACATCTTTAAAGATGTCTAGATAAGCAGTCTCTAAATTTTGGATTCCATGGCATCAGATCTCTTTGACAGAGAGTAATTTGCAATATCCCAGTGATTTTTGTCATGATAGAAATATTTTTATCAGAGAAAACACTATGCTATACAGAGGATGCATTACATTAGCTTATGCATAGCAAGCTTAGGTTCTCAATTAAACTTAATTTGTGCCAATGGGGATTGCATCAGCTGGTTACACACACACACACACACACACACACACACTTGCACGTGCATGCACGCACACTTCTTTATATCTTCTTGTTTTTCATCATGGTGTTTATTGTAGCAACAACTGTGAAATACTTCTCAAGGGTTTGTTCTGGGTGCTGGGTAGCACTGATTGTTATAAGTTCCTCTCAGTTTCACATATTTTCTGGAAAGGTCCCTAGCTCACATTCTCACCTTGACCAGTGGCTGCCACCTGAGATAGCTCTCATCACACCCGTGAGGCTGGTTAAGTTAGTTTACTTATCTGGGTGTTGATAGCCTCAATTCAGAGACAAGAATACTGACTTGAAGAATTAACAGTTTAATATAAAGTCTCAAAGAACTTAAAGGTCCTTCCCAGTGTTAATTTCTGTCCTTCTTACTGTGCCCAGTACAAATCTAGTGGAATGACACCTCCCCAGAACTTTCAACCATGCAGCAGGCCCAGGGAGAGAGAGACTGGTTCCAGGCACTAGCTGGCAGGCCTCCTTAGAAGTTCTCTTTCTCATCCCGTGGCTCCATCCTACCTCCTGCTCTCCCAGGATTCAGGTTTCTAAGTATAAAGCTCTTTGAAACCATATATGGTACGTCAGAGGGCCTTACGTTATCATCTACTCTAATTTCCTTGTTGAACAGAGGGACAAGCTGAGCCAAGAGAAGGGATGACTTGCCTGAGGTTACAGAGCCAGCAGCAAGCTGGGATGTGTATTTATTCTCCTGATTCCAGCTCAGTGCTCTGGTCATTGAGCCAGCGTGCCTGGCATTACATAATTGCAGCTTCACAGTCTTGGCATGCCTAGAAATGACTTTCTGTACTATATTTCTTTGCGAAGATTTCAAGATGAATTCTCTCTCAGCTCTAAAATATTTACACGAGTATCGGGGTCTGTGGACACAATTGCTTCATTACATTCAGCAGCAGAGGCAGCATCTCCAGTAATACCAGAGAGCGTGACAGGTCAAATACTATTCACTCTTCTTCCAGGGAAGCTGTGGCCTCAGTGTAGCTTAGTGAACCGTTTGCTGAAAGGATATGAATTTCCTTTGCAATTCTTGGAGTCTGGAATGGCCATATCCAGTGATGAGAAGGAAAAAAACAACATTTACTTTATATCTGTTATGTTCTAGAGTCCATGCTGGGCATATAATAGTTAAAGCTGGGCTTTGTAGATAGTCATATAGATTCAAATTCAAGTTCAGCAAATCATTAGCTGTTGAATCTTGGGCAAATTATCTATCCTTTCTACTTTAGCTTACATATCTGTAAGATGGAGATGCTAATATTATCTGCCTGTGAAGGTTGTTATTAGGATTAAATAAATTAATATTTATAAAGCACTTTAGAACAATACCTGATACCTAATAAGTGTTTATATAGTGATTACTGTTACTATGCAAATTAAAAACATATTCACATAAACATCAACACATGTTTTAATCACTGTAGATATAGCTTTGTTATTATCCCATTGCCAAGATGAATAAACTGAGATTAAACTAATGTAAATCAAGGCTCCAAGCATTCCTATAGAGGAAGGAGAAAACTTGGAGGATGGTCTCCAGTATCAGATGGGGGACTGGATTTTTAGGTCCTTGTTTTTCATCCTTAAATTTAAGAATCTGCAAGCTGTTCATAATTTATACCATTTGAAGAGATTGCTTAGATTCTGCTAGCCACACCAAGCTTTTGAAGAGAGTGGAATCAAGAGGTTTGTAAGGAAGTATTGTTTCTGATGCTTGGAATGTATGTCTATGAGCTTCTTCAACAAGATTTATACAAATAGGTGGCAAGAGCACATTTGTGAGAAAATGAAATAAAACCACAATGCCCCAAAATATAGGGTCAGCTAAATAAATTATGCCTATCTATATAACAAAATATAGATAGCCTACGAGATATTACCATGGACTAATATTATGACCTAGAAAAATATTCATAATATATTGTTATTTTTAAAAAAATGTCACAACATTGTATATAGAATGTGTATGTGTATACACACATACATGCACATATTTATACATCCACACATATACATGTACAGAAAATGGCAGGCAGGATGTAATATATCATAATAGCAGTAGTCATCTTGGGTGGGGTATTATGGAAGAGTTGTATTTTTATTTTATCTATATTTTATAATTTTTCTATAATAAACACATATGCCTTTTTAAATGAGAAATAATTTATTAAAAATAGGATAGGCACTTATAGTAAAGGCTGTTTTGCTTCTTCTGTTCTTTGATAATTGACTTGGAAATCATCCTGTCTACTCCTGCCTGGCTGATGCAATGGCTCCTACCTTTGTGACAGGTGGCTGCTCTCGCACATGGCCATTACAGCATGGATCTCACTGCATTGTGGTTATTGGGCACATACCCAGTTATAAGCACCCAGCATAGAGCCTGGCACATGCCTGTAAAGTCTACTCACATGCTATGTTTGAAATGAACGAATTAGTGAACTGGTCTGGGGTCAACAGCTTGGATTTGGATATAAGAATTGCCATTTATAAGCTAGGTGAGTCCTAGGCTCCTGATCTGTACTGTGTCAATAGTGATCACAGTTTAAGAGACCTCCAAATGTGTTTTGAAAATGGCAAAGCACCGGTCACAAGATGCGTGGGGATACCAAGCGAGGATTTATTATTATTGCTCCTTCAACTAACAAATCTACATCTCCCCGTCCCTTATTTCTCCTTGGCTCCCTAAGGCATCAAGTTTACCATAGCAGCCAGGTGCTGATAATGCCTCTAGGGGCAGAAGGTGAAATTGAGCCAGCTCCTAAGTCCTCCCTTCCACATACCCTTTACAGCCCAGGGTGAGATGGTCTGAAGTTCGAACTCTGGTCAGGTCCCCTAGCTATCTCGGAACACTTAGACCCACGACCTCTGCCTCTGCAGCCTCAGTTCAGGGCTCTGAAACACCCCTTTGGAGACTACCCTCTCCCCAAGCTCTCTCTCTTGGCACCCTGCCTGGTTGCCGTGGAAATAGGTTCCACTGCGGACAAAGGAGGGAGCTGGGTCCTGCTTCCTCCTGGTTCTGTCGATGAGGATTTTTAGACCGTGGAGATTGCGCTGCCCTGCCCTGCACCTGCCCTCGCTCCCTGTGTTCTCACTAAAGTGCAGCTTGCCCTCCCTTACTATTGACACTGACGAGAACATGTGTAAAAGCGTGACCACAGGTGAGTGGAAGAAAATCTTCTACGAGAAGATGGAGGAAGCAAAGCCGGCTGACAGCTGGGACCTCATCATAGACCCCAACCTCAAGCACAACGTGCTGGCCCCTGGCTGGAAGCAGTACCTGGAGTTGCATGCCTCAGGCAGGTGAGTAGCCCAGGAAGTAAGGGCCCTGCAAGCACCCCCTGGGCCCCTAGCACCTTCCAAGGAGAGATAAGGACAAACAGAACCAAGGCACTTAGCTTCAATCTCACTGCTAGGCTGGTGTAGACTGGAAGGCAGAGAAAGAGTCCCTACTTGGGTGTTGGGACACTTGAGTTTCATTTCAGCTCTTGCACTGATCGCCTGTATAACTCTTCCTCTGTGAGTCACAGTTTCCCTATCTGAAAAATAAATAGGTAGAATATATTTATTAGTCCTAAACTCCGACATTTTACATATTTTCAAATTTTAATCATGTCTTAAAAAGTAATTGAAAATCAGAGAAGGAGGGCTTGAGGCCCATTGGGGGTCAAGAGGTTTATGCTCTGGTCCTAGGACAGTTCAGTTTCGATCTGTTCAATTCAGTTTGATTTAATTTAAAATATCGAACACATGATGTATGCTAGAAACTGGCTCTACTGTTAGCTCCATGGCCCTTGAGTGATTCAATTTCCCTCTTGGACCTCACTTTCTCCACTTGCAAAATGAGAGCTTAGCCTTGCGGTCCAGGGAGCAGCAGTAGCGGCAGCATCACCTGGAATTTGCTAGAGGTGCAGAATCTTGGGCCCCATTCTAGACCTGGATCAGAACCCTATTTTAAGAAGATTCCCTAGGTGATCTGTATGTACAATAGTATCTGAGATGGTCTTCTGGCTTTTAGCACTCTTGTCCATGAATCTATGGCATAAAGACTTTGCTTTGGGACGTAAGATGGGGAGGCTGAGTGGTGCAGACTGGGAGTAAGAAGCGAGCTCTTCTGCCTGTCTTGCTTCTGTCTATTCCATTCCACTCAATTCCATTCAAGTTAAGAAATATTCCTGGCACCTGCTATGCGGTGGGCTCTGCCTCTAACTAGCTGTGTGCACGGGGATGGCTCTCTTAACTCTCTGTCACAAGGTAAAACAAAGGATTAATTAGGTGATTTCTAACTTCCTCTGGTTCTGACATTTTTTATTCCAAGTTGTGCAGTCTGATCTGAGAGGACGAAACAATCCCCAGAGGTTATGAGTAAACAAGAAGAGATGAGAATGAAAATGCAAGGCTCCTAAATTGGTTGACAAGAAGGGTGCCAAAGGCTAGACTTTTGCTGGTGGGACTCAGGAGCTTCTCAAAGACCTGGAAGGCTTGTGGGGCTGAGTGGAGAGGGCTTGTGGCTTACCCAGACCCTGCTGGTGGCCTGTGATTCCTAGCTGGCCCCAGTCAGGCCTGGGAAACCATGGCTCTTGCGGGGTCACTTTGGGCACAGATCGCCTTCATTCCATGCGTTGGGGTGCATTAACTCTGGCACCGACCTGCAGGCTTATAGGTGACAACGGTGTTATTTTCTACTGATTTGTATCTAGCCTGTTCACAGTCAGCGTTGACAGATAAGAATGTGCAGATGGATTATGCGTTTCGTATATGGCGTGGGCCATCCCTGCTATCAGACTCACAGGAGTTCTGAGCAGGAAGGACTCATCTAGTACACCGTGTGAATTTTGCAGATGAGGAATAGGAATGCTGCCCAGACAGAAAAGCCCAGGGCACTGGGGTGGAGGGAGCTGAGGCCTCTGGAAAGCACTGAGGAGACAGAGCACTGCTGGATGCCCGGTTGCATCCCAGGAGCCGATTCTAGTCCCAGGGGGCGCACAAGGGAGCAGCAGGCTGGCGAACTCCAGGGGAATGTTAATGAACCCACAGGCAGGCAACACACCCTGTCCACCTCCAGCTGGGCTGTTTGCAAGGCCTCCCCACTATCCTCTCCTCCTTCCTCTCCCCATCCCTGCAGGTTCCACTGCTCCTGGTGCTGGCACACCTGGCAGTCGCCCCACGTGGTCATCCTCTTCCACATGCACCTGGACCGCACTGTGCGGGCGGGCTCGGTGCGCATGCGCGTCTTCAAGCAGCTGTGCTACGAGTGCGGCACGGCGCGGCTGGACGAGTCGAGCATGCTGGAGGAGAACATCGAGAGCCTGGTGGACAACCTCATCACCAGCCTGCGCGAGCAGTGCTACGGCGAGGATCCGGGGCAGTACCGCATCCACGTGGCCAACCGCCAGGACACCCGGCGGCACCGCAGAGAGTTCTGCGAGGCCTGCCAGGAGGGCATCGTGCACTGGAAGCCCAGCCAGAAGCTGCTGGAGGAGGAGGCGAACACCTACATCTTCACCCCGGCTCCCAGCCCCACCAAGCCGCAGACCGAGACGGGCTCAGGCTGCAACTTCTGCTCCATCCCCTGGTGCTTGTTTTGGGCCACTGTTCTGCTGCTGATCATCTATCTGCAGTTCTCCTTCCGCACCTCCGTCTAAGAGTCCCTGCTGGGCCCAAGGCCTGTGCGGGGCGCCAGTCAGCTGTGGGAGGGCTGGAGGAGAGACCTGGGCTGGGAGCGGGGCACATTCTAGCGCTGGTGCCACCGCTGACTCAGGAGGACTCTGGACAGATGACCCAGTTTTTCCATCTGTAAAATTAAGGGTTTGGGCTAGATCATTGGTTTTTCAAAGTGAAACCGAGAACCCCCAAGTTCTGCATAGAGACCTCAGGGACTTTTGGATTTGGAAGGCAAACTGAATGGGAGGGTTTTCGACTCCTGGTCCAACCACCCATCCTCAACTCCTACCTCCTCCTCTTGCTTTAGTCAGGAATGGTCTACCTTAGATGGAGTTTCATTGAAAATTTTGTACAAAATTTTGTACAAAAAAAGATTCAGCTACTTTTAAGAAGTTGGGAAATTAGAGAACTAGGTGATCTCCGAAGGCCTTTCCACAACAATGGGCTCAACCTTGCTCTCTTGTTAATCCCCCACCCCTACCCTCCTTGCCTCCCACATCTTATAATTGCAGCCTTAAATTAATCTCTTTGCCTACTGTATGAGCCTTATCCACAGCTCCGCTCCCCTCTCACCACCACCCCCCAGCAGAGAGAGGTGGGGACACCAGGCTATCCCTTTGCTGCTGGGTACACAGGGTCCCTTGCTTCCGTTCCCCAGCTTCCCAGCTTCCAGCCTGTCTGCACTCAGGGTGGATTCTGGAGTCTGCTTGGCTGGAAGATGGTGGTTGGGGTGGAGTTCCATAGGGCTAGGCTTCCCACCCACTGCATAGGAACTGGCAGAGAATTTAGGGGAAGTTTAGAAGACAGAGCTTTAAAAGCAAAGCACAAAAGCTCAGGTAACAAATATAATGATTCTGCATCATAATGAAGAGTCTTTCAAGTTCAGGGACCAGAGAGGCACTGGGCCTAAAAAATTCTGAGCAGTGCTGGTGGCCAGAACACAGGAGCAGGGACCTGGCCTCCTGGGTTCTTTACTGAAACTAGCCAAGTGGCTCTCCTACTTTGGCCAGGCATGAGCCCTCTTGCCAAAGAGCTGCTGTCCACCTAGAACCACAGGGATGGTTGTCTTCTGCAAGAGAGGGCGTTAAAGATAGGAAGCGCTTTGCCTATAGAGAAGTACATAGGTATTTGGGAGAATCTTATATTGCTCTAAAATGGGAAGTAATATTGTTTGGAGCAGGAGGATAGAAGACTTTTGATAGTAGTGTATGGAATGGAGTTGGTGGGGAGAGGCAGAAAGCTGTACTTTTAAGGGCCCTCATTTATGCACCTCTGTTATTAACTCGATTCCTTTCCCCACTACTCTTCTGTTTAATAGAAAGTCATAATCATCTGTAGTGGTAGATGGAGGAGGGCCATTTATAAAGATGGGCTACTACTTTAATAAAGATGGGATATATTCAATCTGGCTTAGTAGTCATTAATGTGTGTTTGAGATGCCCTGCCCTGTCGCTGACCTATAATGGGCTGTTGGTCCCCTCCTTCCCGCCACCTTATCTCCCTGGTCTCATTTTGGGGCCACCATATGAGGCTGTATGTAGTTCCAGCTCTGGTCTAATCCTGTCCATAGTCAGGAGGGATGGAGGTTAGTCGTCAGGGAATCAGCTTAAGGTGAGTCTTACCCTTGCCCCGGCTCTAACTCTAATAACCAGCTGTGGCTTCCTTTACTTCATTCACACAGTATTCATTTCTTCATTCAGTCCAGGTATCCTGCACACATACTGTCTAGCAAGTCCTGATTTAGGTGCTGGAGTAGAGTGGGCACTCTGGGTAGGCCCTATGTCTCAGAGGTCTCCGCTTATTACAGAGGTTCTCACTCTTGGCTGCACTTTAGAAATCCTGGGGGGCCTTTTAAAGAAATATCAGTGCTCAGCCCAATGGGGTCAGAAATTTTGGGGACAGGGCCTTAGCATTTGAATTAGAATAAAATGCCCAGGTGATACACCCGTGCTGCCTGGTATAATGCCTTCTAACTAAAAAATAGATTTTACATCCAGTTTTATGAACACTGAGGCCTGATATCTTCCTTGTCCTGGATGCTCTAAGACTAAGGCTCAGCTTCCCTCTCTCCAGCTGCCCCTCTCCCTCCCCACCCTGTGCCCTGGGACTTCACCCTCCCTTACCTGCCCCCTTTGCAGATCTGCTGCTACAATGGCTTTATCTTGCCCTGAGAGTCTTCATTACCCGAGCACTGCCACCCTTGCTGGGACAGTCATTGACTTTTGTTATAATTACTCTCCTATGGCTAAACTCCCTGCTAGAATGTAAGCTCCAAAAAACCCACAGACTCCATGTATTTTATTCACTTCTGTTCAGTGAGTAACATGTGCTCAATAAAAACTTGTTGAATGAATAAATGAAGCAATAAACTAGGCTATCTCCAGCCAGCTCCTCACATCTCTAGCATATTATTATTATTATGTTTGTGACAATATTTGGAATCTCCCTCTCACTCCACCATTCATTCGTCTTAGATCTCACACTTATGTATCCTAAATCAGATCAGTTTAAATCAAGGTACCTGGAGGAGGACAGAGTTGTGGGTGTGTGTGGTGGGTATTTTAAAGGTGGTAGCATGGGGTCATGTAAAGGGCTGTGAACCCTGCATTGGGAGCTGTGGGTCCTCATTTAATTTTGAGCTCATTCCCCTGGGACATTCAGCTGATCATTATTCTCTCTGGGTCTCAGGTGCTCTGTCTTCTTGTGGTTTGGAGCATCCTGGGGTCCTTCTTTGTACTCTCCTGTATCAGCCCACATGAAACATTCTTTTTCTGCACTTTCTAGTGGCAAGTTATCCAGCCTCTATTTGAGCATTCTCTGTGACACGGAGATCATTACCTCTGAGGGCAGCTCATGTCATCTTTGGATAGTTCTGCTTTTTAAAGAAGATGTTTTCCTTTTAAGGCTCCCTCAAAAGGACTTGCATTTTTCATTCATAGGTTCTAGTTCTTACCAGTGGGATCCCACAGGGAGACTGTTCCCTTCTCCTTATACAAGTCTTTTCACGTGACCACAGCCAGGACGGTGCTCTTAACCTAAGTCAGATCCTGCCATCTTCTGATCCCCTTTTCATCCTGTGAAAGCGAAGCCCTACATGACCACAGGTGAGGTGGCTCCAGCCGTCCTACTGACACTTTTAGTACTCCTCCTCCTCCTCATTTCTGCAGCCACACTAGCTTCTTTGCCTTTACCCAAACACGTAGTCATGTTCCTGCTTCAGACCTCCTTCCCCCTGCTCCCTCTGCCTGGAACGGTCTTTCCCAAGAAATTCACTTGCCTTGCTCTCTGACGCCCTTGGAGTATTTGCTCAAGCCTCGTCTTCTCCACCAGGCCTGCTCTGACACTCCATTTCCTGCTGTAGCCTGCACCCCCGCCCCCGCCCCACTCCTGATCCCCCGCCTTTACCTCAGCCTGGGTTCTCAGAAAGCAGAAGTCAAGGCAGAGGCTTATGTGTTGGCACTTTGTTGGCAAGTGTGGTCCCGGGAAGCCGGAGTTAGGCTGGGGGAGCTGAGCAGAACAGGAGGGAAAGGCAGTGGAAGGGCGCCTTATCCCGTTGACCGCCTTCCCTGGGGTGGGTTGCTTAATCCCACAGAACCATCTGAGAAGCCAGACGAAATGCATCTCAGGATCTTTGGGGGGTCCGGTGGGGGTCTATCCACTGGCTCTTGCCTTCCAGTGGCTGAAGGTGTGCTCCGTAGGGTGTTAAGTCCCCTGCACTCTGGGTTGTGGGTGCGCTAATTGGGTAAATATATGAATGAACAAACGTTTAAGAAGTATCTGAAAACAATGTTTGTGTCCTTGCTTTGACTCTCTAGGGTTAAAGCTCCACTTTGTGCCTTCTTATGGTCCTATTCTGGTTGTGTTTCTTTCTGGGGGCTGAGCACCCACTGCACATCCTTTAGCAATAGCACTGTGACTTCCTTCTCCAGGAATTACCTCTCTCCCATTGAGTATAATCTGGAGGGGTATCAAGGGACTCTGCACCTCCCTCCACTCCCAACCAAGGGGCACATGGTCCAAGAGAGGTTGCTTGGAATTTCAGTGATGAGCAAAGTGATAAAGACACTGAAAACAGGTGGAGCATATCAACTGCAGTAGCAGCCCTCTGGCATGACTGTAAAATAGTTTCTGCTATACACATTCCCATCATGGCCAAACTTTGTCCTTTGCTGAGTTTTGTTCTTCACTCTTCTTTTTGCTTCTGTGAACTTCCCCCACAGTGTTCCAATACATTCCCTTATATGCTTAAATCAGCTGCTATCTCTGGGCATTTCAACCAAAGGTGTGTGACTGATACACCAGGTCTTTCCCCTCTGGACATGCTGCATTTGGGCAGCTCTGATGATGGGAGCCCGACCTGAGCCCCATCTGCCCTCTCCTGGGATCTTCAACTTCTCTTTCCTCTGTGCTCAAGCCCATGCCTCAGTCCCACATTCGCCTGTCTTTTCTGCTTCCATTCACATCTGAATGTTTCAAAGACTGTCCACACTCTGTCTCCCCATTCTCACTTTCCATTAATTCTGCAGGCTGGCTCCAACCCCCACAAAAGCCTACAAAACTGTCTTCACCAGGCACTAGCAGGCATCTTATGGCTATATACAATGTATACTTTTTTTTTTTAAGAGACAGGGTCTCCTCTGTTGCTTAGGCTGTTGTGCAGTGGTAATCTCTTAGCTTGTAGCTCATAGCTTATAGTAACCTCAAACCATCCTTCTGCCTTAGCCTCCCAAGTAGCTAGGACCACAGGCATGTGCCACCATGTCAAGGTAATTAAAAAAATTTTTTTAGTAGAAGTGAAGTCTTACTATGTTGCCCGGGCTGGTTTTGAATTCCTAGCTTCAAGTGATCCTCCTTTCTTACCCTCCTAGAGTGCTGGGATTGCAGGCATGATCCACCATGCCTGGTCAGTGTGTTCTTTTATAAATTATTTTTCTTGACCTCACAAAGGAGTCCAGTGCTATTGACCAACTCCACTCTATGTACTTGGCTTCAGGGACACCCCACTTTTAATTTACCTTCAGCTTTTCTGGCCTCTTCTTCCCTTCTTATTCATAGGTCTCTCTGTCTCTGCCTGCCTCCTGAATGTTGGGGTTCTTTAGGACATTCCAAGTCTTCTTCTCTTTGCTCCTCTCTCATGTGCCCACACCTCTTGGATGATCCAGTCTATTCTGAGATTTTCATTTAGTATCTCTATGCTGGTAA